AATAGTTTTTGTTCATCAATGTGCCTACTAATTCTTTCCTTAATAATGGTTTCCACCAATTTACCCGGTATCGATATCAGACTGACTGGCCTGTAGTTTCCTGGATCTCCTCTGGAACCCTTTTTAAAGATGGGAGTGACATTAGCTACCTTCCAGTCCTCAGGAATAGAGGCAGATTTTAATAGAGATGACATATTTTTGTCAGGAGATCCACAAGTTCACATTTGAGTTCTTTCAAAGCTCTTGGATGTATGCCATCCGGGCTGGTGATTTATCAATTTTTAAGTTGTCTATCAGTCATAGGACCTCCTCTCTCATCTCCTCAGTCTGACTCAGGTCTTTCAACACCCCTCCTGAAATCAGCAGTTCTGGAGTGGGCAAGTACTTCTCATCTTCTACAGTGAAGACAGAGACAAAAAATGCATTCAGCTTCTCAGCCATCTCCCTATCATCCTTCAGTACTCCTTTTACCTCTTGGTCATCCAAGGGCCCCACTGCCTCCCTGGCTGGTTTCCTGCTTCTAATGTATTTGAAAAAAGTTTTATTGTTGGTCTTTATGTTTTTTGCAATATACTCCTCATATTCCCTTTTTGCCTGCCTGACCATAGACTTGCATTTTATTTGCCACAGCCTGTGTTCCCTTTCATCAACTTCCCTGTGACTAGCTTTCCACCACTTAAAGGAATCCTTACCTTTTACAGCTTCCGTTACTTTGTTTGTTAACTATTTTTGCAGTTGATCTAAAAACACACTATTTACATTCCCACGGATACCATGTGTTTTCACTGGGGAATTAGCCTTCAGGCAGTTCTTAAACATGCCGTTGTGCTTTAAGTATAGAAGGAGAATTCTTACTATAAACTGACGGAGGTTTTTGGGCTCCTTTGAGAAGTAAGACTCATAGTTTCTTACCTTAGAGTTACTGCTGAGAAAATACTTTCACCATATGGTTGCGCTATGCAGCCTCTCTCATGTCAAATCAGCCCTTCAGATAGCAGCCAGTGCTCACAGCCCATTCTCACTCTCTCCACAAGACATAAGCCACCACCAATGTTCCCTCTAAGCTGAGTTAGTGTGAGCTAGCTCACACTAACTCAGCTTAGAGGGAACACTGGCCACCACTCTTCCTAGTCATTGTCATCATTCAGAAGCTCTCTGTGACACAGTGGCTGAGTGAAAAATGGC